GATTGGCCAGGAACAGTGAACCATGGCCAATGGGAGTTGTGAGCAACTGTGCTTGTGGACACTCGAGTAAATAAACCGTCTCATGGCCTGCCAATGACTAACCCTGACGAACCACATGCAGCCCGTGCGCCGGAGGTTCCCCTTCCCTGGTATATGTGCTAGAGCTATGTGGAAAATAACAATTCTATTTCACAGAGGATTTCAATGCTTTGAAATTTTATTTTTGTTTCAATTAGAAAACAAAACAAAAAAAATTAGAAATTTTCCATGAAAGGACTAGAGGTGAGAATGCAAGACAGTCTGGTTCAAGATAATTGGAAAGCTAAGTAAATCCAGTTGTTTGAATGCTTTCCCCTACTTCCACCAATCAATGATTTTTTTCCACTTTGTTTTATAATCTTTCTTCCTCCAGCATGGCCAATAATGTAATCCTGCTAGAATAAGACTTGTGGAATCAGTATTGTTACAAATTGAGAAATTGTGAGAGATCTTTAGCGAATCAGCAAGAGCAAAGCCAAAAAAGAATATTTAAAAGGTTAATTAAAACTGATTTAAGAGCAGAATGATCTCACAAGCCTGGTTAGTGAGATTAATGAGCACAGAAATCACAGTTTAATTCAATTTTAAATTAAATTTCAAGTTCACCTACACTATATATAGACATTGCAAATACAATGGTTGAAAAATCAGTTACTCCGTTACTTTTTCAGTTACCCATGAGGAACTTAGTTCAGGTACTTCCCTTGTGAAAATTCCAATAAATAATTTTAGAAGCCTTTAAATCATTAACATAGTGTCTGTCTGATGTATCTGTAAGAGCAGCTCCATACTTGGTTGGACCCCAGTGTTCTGTCTCTGACGGAGTGAACAGAACAGGGAAATTTCTTGAGTGATCCACCTCATCGTCTAGTTCTAACTTCTGGCTGGGGGACAGAGGTTTAAGGACACTCAGTACATATGGGTTGCAGCCCTGAGCATCATAGCTACTAGTCATTGATAGACCTCTCCTCCATTAATTTATCTAAATTTTTAAGCACCCAGTTATACTTTTGGCCTTCAAAACACTTCTGGCAATTAGTTCCACAGATTATGTGCTTGGGTGAAGTAGTACTTCCTTTGGTTTGTATTAAATCTGACTATTCATTTGATTAGGTGATTAGAGCTGTTTTCAGTTATGAAGATAGCACAACTGTCAGATGCAGTATTTATAAATCTTGTTTTTAATTTGCTTTTATACCTTTCTCTAATGTATTTGTGCAAATATAGTCATTTTTGTAACAAAAAACTACTTTCATTATTTAGTATGTGCTGTGACTACAAGAAAAGTGTCACACATTCAAACTGAAATGTTGCCTTCTACTTCTACAGACCAGAGGTACTTCTCTCAGGCTTTGTCTACACAGCAGTGTTATTTCGGAATAACAAAGAGCACATCTACACTACAAACCTGTATATTGAAATAATGTCGAGCTGGAGGATTTCTTGAGGAGTAAAGGAAGTCAAAGGAAGAGTGTTCTTCCTTCAACTTCCTACTGTGTACACAATGCCAAAAGCCAAATTCAGCTATTTCCACTTCAGCTACGCAATTGACATAGCTGAAATTGCGTAGCTTAATTCGACTGTAGCCCTGCTGTGTAGATGTGCTCTCAGAATGGAATGGCCACACTGAGAAGCTACATCTCTTAGAGGGATGCAAGTGATTGGTGCACTCCTTGAGATGGATGAAGAGCTCTGAGAAACAAGCCTGTGGTGATCCCCTGATGAGGGTGCAACCGCCTCCATCACACATCTGTGAAAAAATGTTGTTACCTAGCCCAAAGTTACAACACAGCTGGCAGCCTCTGTTCAGGAGAACAGTGATTACAATGCTACTGCTCAGCACTGGGCTGTATGAACAAAATTGTGGACATAGGTTCACTAGATGCAATAAATCAACAACCAAGCACTCTCCTGTCAACTCCAGTACTCCACCAAAATGAGAAGAGTAAGTGGAGACAACAGGAGAGTGCTGGCTGTCAACTTACTGTGTAAGCAGACTTAAGTATGTTGACTTCTACTGCATTATTCACATAGCTGAAGTTGTATAACTTAGGTTGATGGCCCTTGATAATATAAGCAAAGCCTAAATGTGGCAGCTTGACCAACACCTGCCTCGCATTGTGCATGGCTCAAGGCAGTGTTGATTGTTTCTCCCACAACTCACAAACATGTCATGAAAAATAAGTGTCATTTGTAAGTACAGAAAAAAAGATTGTGAAAGTCCAAGGGCAATTTCCAGCCCTCTCCAAAGAATAGTATTTGATCAAACCCAACCCTAAAACAGGATTTAGAAGCTGAATGTGCTCAGATGTAATTTGTATTGGAAAGTTTATTTGATATGGCATTGGATATAGATATATAAAATTTTCAACATTAATTAAACTGATGAATGGCATGGTTTATGTCATCTGGAATAAATCTCTACTGCCTCACTAAAAGGGAGAAATTACTGATCAAACCCTCAAACCTGCAACCCTTACAAACGTGAGTAGTCCCATTGACTTCAACATAACTGAATCTTGCAGGTTTGGGTCCAAATGAGAAATATTCCAGAATAATTGAAAATATCCCATATCAGTTGAATGTTCCAAAATTGCATAAAGGTTGTGAAGATGTATTTCTGACCTAAGAAATGCAAAAGTGAGGGGTTTTTTATTTCACTGATGTCTGTATGGTAAGGCATGATTTAAAAAACTTTTAACAAGGGGTAATCACACTGAAAACTATCATCTAGTTGGTATTATGAAACGGAAGTACTAAATAAAAATAAGGATAACTTACATCTATGGTAATAAATATACATCTCTTCCGAATATCACAGAAGAATGATGGTTCTGTGCTTGTTGTCAGTTAGAGTACCCTCAGCTGCTCAACATATGCTGGCTACCTGCTGGGAATCACCAGAACTGAGAGTACTCCAGATAAATACTCTCTGTTGTGCAGAAAGCCACAGGTGTAGAGGCCAGTTACATTAACTCTATGCTAGCCAAGGATTCTCCTATACCATGGCAATCTGTATCTGCCTGCAGTCGACAGCTTTCTGGTGGAATAAAGTAGCTGCACTATGGGCCAGGATATGGTCCTAAGGTTCTAGGCCACATCATATAACCACATGGAGTGTAATGTAACCATGACTTGTGAAGTTCGGTTTAATCAAATTCCTGCTTGCTTCAAAACTTTAATTTTAACTATGACAGAAACATTAAAATAGACTCTTAATGTTTCTCATACTTAAGAATAGATGTTAATCATAGCTTTAAAAGGAGGGGCATCATGGCTCTATTGTGGAAAAAATGCAAAAGTAGTTATTTTAGTTAAATATGTTGTGGCAATTTCAGAACTCTAATATCTTTAAATCATGTGATATTAATAAATTATTAGATTAAAACCCTTGCTTCACTGAAACTGACATATACAATAAAACTAGAAGGAACAGTTTTGCTTAGTGGTGATCTGGCATTTGGACCAAACTGTCGATGAAATTTGGTCCTATTGGTCTGTCATAGTTTTGCCATTGACTTAAATGAGGCCAAGACTTCAACACACACACACACACACACACTTGTCAGGGAATTCATGGCTGTGAGAAACCTCTCTAGACATACAGCTCTATAAACAGATTTCAAAATTAATATGCCTTCTATATGTATCTTGTGCAATTTCTTTCAACATTCATTGCAATATCTTTGTAGTTTCTTGTTCAGAATGACGTAACTGAATGTTGACTTCTGCCTCCTGAATCTAATGTTGCAGGTTATATTTTGAGCTATAACATAAAGATAATCATATAACAGGCATCAATAGCCCTCTTTATTCTTGAGTTAATGCACTTTATAATTGGATAGCATGATTAGCAGATTTGATGGATAAAAGATAGTATATAGTTCTAACTCCTTCTGCCAATTATGCAGATGTAGTTAGTTTTTCAAGTGGTCTAACCTATATGCTTAAACTGTGTTAGTAAAATGGTTATTCAAACCAGTTTAGCTGGTTTCCAGGATGGATGAGAATAGCATATTTGCATGACATTCATTTTATGCAGAAAAAACATCTGTATCTGACGAGAGAGAAAAACAAATAAACTGGGCTACAAATCAGATTAAATAAGATTAGTGTAGACTTAGTTTAGTAGAGTAATAATGAAGATATTGGATCTTGACTGGACTTTAAAAATAGGCAGTGATAAAATTAAGAAAAACAAAGGCTAGTTAGAAAGAAAAATGAATGGTGAGAAGTTTCTTTAAGGCACTGGTAGAAAAAGATGAACAGATGTATTGTTTCATTTCATATTGGGATTCTCTGGATTTCGATGACAACTAACCTTTCATGGTTCACTACTTTTGATTTTTGAATGTTAATCTTAGCTCGAGTTACTCTTAGATAACAGTTGCTTCCATGCTGTGTCTACAAAAAACAGTAACAAGTCAAGACTTTCCCTGGTGTGTACAGAGAGGCCCCTTTGTCTTTATGTAAATGCTCTGACCTGATTACAGGAAGCAATTAACTAGATAGTTTTCAAGAGTTTATTTCTCACATAGATTAAATACATTTTAAAAAAAGGTGAATGCTTGGTGCCCATTTCTGCACCTTCTTCATTTGGAAAACCTCCCACATCCAACAACTACAGGACTGTTCCATAATGACCTACCTCACAGAGACAAGTGGTAAGACCTGGACTTCCTTCAGCTAAGCTATCATATAATTACTGAAAATTGCTTAAAAAAAAACTCATTGGAGTTAACCACAAACAAATGAAGAAGCAAAAACATCGGCTTGGTAACATTCTTCAAAAGGGAGGAAAATAAACTGAACCAGAACTAGCTTTTAAAAATTGCTGTTTATAACATGGAAGTCTGAAAATGTTGTTCTGTTTATTTCATAGGGGAGACATGCTTACCACACACCATGCTACTCCTTCCATATGTAACTGACTCTTGACTTAATGTTTCTTTTCATTCTAGAGAGAGATCTTTTTGGAGCAGAACCATTTGACCCTTTTAGCTGTGGAGCAGGAGATTTCCCTCCAGACATTCAGTCCAAACTAGATGAGATGCAGGTACTTACTTATCATTTCAACAAATGGTTTGCATGAGCCTATGAATACTTATATAAGAAGGCTAAAGTATACATCATATAGTACTCTGTGTTGTAGCATGTTTAGAATCTGTTCTTTACTATACAAAGAAAAATTAACTTGTATCTTTGTGGATGGATCATACTTATCTTCAATCAGAGTTGAACATTTAACTCCCTGAGGCACTCTCAAATAGTCTCAGGATATTGAGAAAGAATCCAATTGGCACTTAGGCATACTAATTAGAGCTGGTTGGAAATTTTCTGACATTTTTGTCAGAAAAATATGATTAGCTAAAATTAAAATGACCGGCGGCAACATCCAGTTTTTGATGGAAATCCAAAAGAAACCAGACAAGTTTCCAATAACCCTGCCTAATTTTCTACCAGCTTATCTGCTTTTCTCTTTGGCAGCTGGCATCTCCCAAGTAATGAGCAGGTTGGGGGGATTTGGAAATGTTTAGAAAAGGTCAAAATGAAACTTTGGAATTCCTATTCATGGGAAACTTTGAAATGCCGTTTATCAGTCTACTTTGGAACAACTTTTTCATCTTGAAATTTACTGCAGACTGAGAAGTCAAGTTTCTGACCAGCACTAGTACTAATATTTGTGTAGAATGAGCTCAAAGCTAAAGGTAATAGAACAGGAGAAATAGCTCTCAGAGGCATCTAGAAAGCCTAACTACAACAGTTTTATTGTGGAATTTCCACAGCATTGTTTAAATTGTTTCTTCAACAAAGGAGTTTGAATTTGATTGCTTAATGCATGTCATAGTATCCTATAAATAATTTTAGAATACATCAATGGCTTGGCTCAAAAATAAACATCTTTTTATTGCTTTATAGTATTTCTAATCTCTCTTTTATCTTCTTGTGTTTTCCTGGGTGTTCAGCGTCAGCGATGGTTGGTATATCATATTTTAATATCAATATTACATTAACTTGTTATAATTAAAATCCTAAAAAATAGGCATATTGTATAATTTCTGTCTTTTATGAGGTTTATATTTTAATCCATGTATGCATGTCTGTAATTGAGGACTATTTTTATGCAAATATTTTGGGGGGGATATTCAGAGGGGATTGGTTGTTGGTTGTTTTGGGGTGGGGGAATTGTCTTTCAAGTCTTAATTTATATTCTTTTTTTCCCATTTTCTCCCATTGTTCATTTATTCCTCTCCCTCTTTCCCCCTCACATTTTCATCATTGGACTGTGGCTTATAAAATTGTCTCTTCAGGAAAATATTATCCATCAACCTCTTCTACCTAAATATATCTGGAATTTGAAAATGGGAAAGATGTTTCTATCTTGGAGTTAGTGATGTTAGTGTAACCCACACACCTTGGGTATATCTAGATTGCGTCCAGATTAGGCAGGTCGACATTGCAAATGAGGCAGGGATTTAAATATCCCGTGCCTAATTTGCATACAAATGGCCACCGCATTTTGCCGACGCAGCACTCTGTCGGCAAAAAGTGGCAATCTAGAGGGGATCTGTCGAGAAAGAAAGCCTTTTTCGACAGATCCTATAAACCTCCTTGCAGGAGGCATAAGGGATATTTAAATCCCTGCCTCATTTGCAATGTTGACCTGCCTAATCTGCCTCCCTCTGCCAACAGAGGGATGCAGTCTAGACATACCGCTAGTGTGGTTCATTGTCCCATCCAGTGGCACCTAAACCACCGCAACAGATAACAAAAAGAGACCTCTACAGCATAGGCTGAGCGCCAGCTGGCTTTTGGCTTAAAGGGTAGAGGCTCCTATACGAAGCTCCAGAGGTCCCAAGTTAAAATCTGCCTGGTGGCGGTTACATTAGTTTCTCTTGAATGACCTTTTGACTCAGTGCGAGACACCTTGCTTTCTAGCATAGGAAAATGAGGAAGGGGTGTTGAAAAAATGGTGGCGCTTTTTTTGCTTTCAATTTACACTTGAATTGCAGAGGCAAAATTGTTGACATTCGGCTTTTGTATTAAAAGATCTAAATAATTAGTTCTTGATTAAGATCAGTAAGTTGCTTACTTATTTTTAAAATGAAAAGAAATATGAAAGAGTGCATGATAACCAAGTTTGTGCATCTTTGAAAAGTCATGGGTGGTCTTTAGAGCCACAAGCCTATGTAAGAAATCAGTGAAGATTTGAAAAGAATTACGAAGAAGAAAAACACAATCTGCTCCAAGAAATTGAGTAAAGCCAAATACCTAATGTTCTGAGGAATACAACAGTAATGGGCAATATGAGCTACAACTGAAATTTTGTTTATTCTGTGTAGTAGACGGCTACCTCTAGACTGGCCACATAAGACGGAATAGGCATGCAAAGCAGGCAAGTCAGAATAGGGAAATCCGCGGGGGATTTAAATATCCCCCGCGGGATTTAAATAAACATGGCCGCCGCTTTTTTTCCAGCTTGGGGAAAAGCCGGAAAAGGGCATCTAGACTGGCGCGATCCTCCGTGATAAAGCCCTTTTCCGGAGGATCTCTTATTCCTACTTACAAGTCAGAATAGGGATCTGCTTGCAAGTAGGAATAAGAGAGCCTCCAGAAAAGGGCTTTATTCCGGAGGATCGCGCCAGTCTAGATGCCCTTTTCCGGCTTTTCCCCAAGCTGGAAAAAAAGCGGCGGCCATGTTTATTTAAATCCCGCGGGGGATATTTAAATCCCCCGCGGATTTCCCTATTCTGACTTGCCTGCTTTGCATGCCTATTCCGTCTTATGTGGCCAGTCTAGACATAGCCGACATGTATGTAGAGCCAGCATGTTTATACTCATTCACATTATAAACACAGATTTTCTGAGTTTCAGTAAGTGTGTATAGATTGAACCTCTCTAGACCAGGACTCTCTGGTCAGGTAACATTCGTGGTCTGCAATGGGGCTGGAGCCTAGTAACGGGGATCATAGAATCATAGAACTGGAA